TGTAAACGTCAATTCATACAAATCATAGTGTAGTACAATTTTGCATAGGTGATATTTTTATTTAGATAATTTTAGATTTTAAAGGGTTAATTGTGAAATAAATTTATTATAAAATGTTAGATCTATTTACAATATTTAGTAAAGGGGGCATAGTGCTCTGGTGCTTTCAGAGCACTAGCCACATATTTGCACCATCTGTAAATGCACTTATTAGAAGTGTCATATTGCAGGTAAAAATGTAAAGGACTCATGTAATAAATTATGTTATATTTAATATATCTTTTTTTAGGAGCGATCTGGAAAAAATACCTACGACCACGATTCCTTAACATTGCAATATAAATTAGACAATGAATTTGAGCTGGTGTTTGTGGTTGCCTTTCAGAAAATTTTGCAACTGTCATACGTAGATAAATTTTTAAATGATGTACATTTAGAGTTTAGAGATAAGTATAAGAATGACTTACAAAATAAAAGGTATTTTCAAGAATTTGACTTTGGTGCTTGTTATAACAGTATTCTGCGGGCGGCTGAAGAATGGGGTATGGTAAATTAGAAAGAAATATATAAAGTATATTATTAAAACCTGCGTTTGTTGTATGTAGTTATTTATTTCATCAGGTCGGACTCAGGCTAAGTTACCTAAACAAATGCGTTCTTTTGAAGATTCTATGAAATCTAAAAAGACAGTTGCTTCAATGATTGAAAGAAAGGGCGAGGAAAAAAAAGACACCAAGAAGAATGGTAAGATAATATTATATCTAATATATTTTACATTTGAAATTTAACTTATGTGTATTTACCTCTTTTAGGTAAACAAAAGGGCAAAAATGTTTGTTTTGATGAAGAAGAATGTAAGATTTTATGACATTAAGCTTTAAAATATCCGAAATATGTATTTTTTACTTTATTTATCATTTACAGTAAATACTAAAACTGTTAGTGAACCGGTGCAAACAAATAATACAAAAAGTGACGATCCAAATGATATAATCATGCAAAATCGATTGAAACTTGCACAAAAAATGGGAGCATCTAAAAAGAAAGTTGAAAAAACGTGAGTAGATACTGAAATATTTCTTTGGTTAAAGATTATTAATCTGATTTTTTGTTAAAGTAAATCTCCAAAGGCTGAGAAAGAAAAGGCCGGTAAAAAACCTAGAATTTGGGAACTTGGTGGAGGTGCTCAGGATTTACCAACACTTGATAGATCTAAAGATAAACCGGAAGATGCTAAAAGCAACTTTACACATTCTGCACCAGTAAGATTATTCATATATAATTATTATTGTTATTTAATAATGATTTTATTTATATATATATATATATATATATATATATATATTATAATTTATTTATATATATATTATTATTATTATTATTGTAGATGGTTGGTCAAATGCAAGGAGGTATCCGTGATATAGAAATTGATTCAACTGATGATGAATCTTCTGAAGAAGATGTTGTTAATTCCAAAAACACTCCAAATGGTTATTCTAATAAAATGAACGGCCAGGCTAAAAAAAGTGGTGGAATGTTTTCTATGTTTAAAGGTAAGATATTGTTTATAATTAGTTTTGAGTATTTTAAGTAATTGAATTATTTTTATTTAAGGTTTGGTTGGATCTAAAAATTTGTCCAGAGATGATATGCGGCCTGCTTTGGATAAATTAAAGGACCATTTGATAGGAAAAAATGTTGCAGCTGATATTGCTTATAAACTTTGTGAGTCGGTGGCTGTGAAACTTGAGGGAAAGGTAAGTGAACTAGGATTTATACAATAATTGATAATTTATGCTTGAATTTAACAGAAAATTTAGATTGATAAAAGTAAATTTTGACTGAAATGATTTGCAGTTCCATTTTATTGTTAATGATTTTTTTTAATATATATATATATATATATATATATATATAGATTTTGTTGTGTATAAATAGATATATAAATGTATATATGGATTTTTCATCGAAATTTCATATAAAAATGTAGGTTTTGTTGTGTATAAATGGATATATAAATGTATATACGATTTTCCTTTATAATTCATATAAAAATGTAGGTTTTGTTGTGTATAATTGGATATATAAATGTATATATGGAATTTCCTTTGAAATCTTATATATAAATGTAGGTTTTGTTGTGTATAAATGGATATATAAATGTATATATGGATTTTCCTTTGAAATCTCATATATAAATGTAGGTTTTGTTGTGGATATATAAATGTATATATGAACTTTCCTTTAAAATCTTAAATATAGATGTAGGTTTTCTTGTGTATAGTTGGTTATATAAATGTATGTATGGAATTTCCTTTATAATATCATATATAAATGTAGGTTTCGTTGTGTATAATTGGATATATAATTGTATATATAGATTTTCCTTTACAATCTCATATATAAATGTAGGTTTTGTTGTGTATAAATGGTTATATAAATGTATGTATGGATTTTCCTTTATAATTTCATATATATAAATATAGGTTTTGTTGTGTATAAATGGATATATAAATGTATATATGATATTTTCTTTAAAATCTCGTATATAGATGTAGGTTTTCTTGGGTATGGTCGGTTATATAAATGTATGTATGGATTTTCCTTTATAATTTCATATATAAATGTAGATTTTCTTGTGTATAGTTGGTTATATAAATGTATGTATGGATTTTGCTTTATAATTTCATATATAAATGTAGATTTTCTTGTGTATAGTTGGTTATATAAATGTATGTATGGATTTTGCTTTATAATTTCATATATAAATGTAGGTTTTGTTGTATATAATTGGATATATAAATGTATATATGGATTTTCCTTTGAAATCTCATATATAAATGTAGGTTTTGTTGTGTATAAATGGATATATATAAGTGTATATATGAACTTTCCTTTCAAATTTCATATATAAATGTATGTTTTGTTGTGTATAAATGGATATATAAATGTGTATATGAACTTTCCTTTAAAATCTCATATTTAAATGTAGGTTTTGTTGTGCATAAATGGATATTTAAATGTATAAATAAATTTTCTTTTTAAATCTCATATATAATCATAGGTATTTTCGAAATAAACAGTTAAATATTTTACTTAAATATCTGAATCTGAATTCTCATTTATAACGTCGATTATTTACACGTATCAGGGAAGTTCATGCAACTTGCCTTAAGGCAAAATGCCCTTACAACTATTTATTTTCATTCTTTAGGTTTTGGGAACATTCGACACAATAGCTGCAACAGTTAAACTCACTTTACAAGAATCTTTAGTACAAATTTTATCACCCAAACGCCGTATCGATATATTGAGAGATTGCCTTGAAGCCAAATCTCAGGCTAGACCTTACGTGATGACTTTCTGTGGAGTCAACGGTGTCGGAAAATCAACAAACCTGGCTAAAATATGCTTCTGGTTAATTGAGAACAATTTGAGTGTTCTGATAGCCGCATGTGACACATTTAGAGCAGGAGCTGTGGAGCAATTGAGGACCCATACGAGACACTTGAATGCTCTGCATCCGATGGAGAAACATGGAAACAGAACCATGGTGCAGTTGTATGAAAAGGGATATGGTTAGTAATAGATAGTTGGTAATTGTATATAAATACTAGATGACCCAATAGACGTTGTCCTGTACCCATATCTACAATTTCTTAATATAATATACTAAAAATAATAATTATTGTTTTTTAAATTGCTCTTCACGCCCAAAATGCATATACATTTATAATATGAGCGATGTTAAATGTAGAACTGCTTTAAATAAAATGATGAGTCTCAATTCCCACATTATATTGGAAATTGAAGTCTTTTAAACAGTATAACATAACGATAACCAAAACATAACACTGGTACTTCATGTTGGATTAAATCAAATTAATTATTTATTATTTAAGATATCCAAAATTGCATCTTAAACTTCTCCTAATTGATATCGTGATAGCCGAATTGTATGTATTCATCTTTACTTTCCCATTTGTTGATATAAAGTGAAATTTTTACGAAATTTAAAAATATTGTGGAAGGATTAGTAAAAGATGCAAAGAAATATATAATGTATATATATATATATATATATATATATATATATATATATATGAGTAAGTTCTTCAAGGGCATACATCAAATAAAAGGCAAAGATTTAGAAGTTAATCTTTAATTTTTCCAAACGTTTCGACATAGTATTTTATGTCATCATCAGTGGATATAAATATGGTCTTACATCAGTAGCTAGCGCAAGGAACACAATTTTGCACTATCATATAAACATTAACTTGTTTTTTTTTTTTAAATTAATTTGTTGAACAGAGTATAGCAAAATATTTGTGAAATATATAATATATTTTGCACAGAGAACGTAGTTTATGTGACAGAGCCCGAGGCTGTAGTCTGTAGTTGACTACAGCCTCGGGCTCTGTCACATAAACTACGTTCTCTGTGCAAATATATTATATATTTCACAAATATTTTGCTATACTCTGTTCAACAAATTAATTTAAAAAAAAAAAACAAGTTAATGTTTATATGATAGTGCAAAATTGTGTTCCTTGCGCTAGCTACTGATGTAAGACCATATTTATATCCACTGATGATGACATAAAATACTATGTCGAAACGTTTGGAAAAATTAAAGATTAACTTCTAAATCTTTGCCTTTTATTTGATGTATGCCCTTGAAGAACTTACTCATATTTCTCAACATCAAAATTAACTACTTTAATATATATATATATATATATATATATATATATATAATATTGAAAAAAGACTATATTGAAAATTTAATATCCGAATCTTGTGTTGGCGCCCCCTAAGTAGTGCGCTCGTATTTTTCGCATGCATCGCATTAAAGGTAGGACCGGCTCTGATTAATACCAAATTTCATATTTTAAGTGAATTAATTTGCCATATTTGTTCATATGTGTATGATTCAATCTGCCATACATATACTGTATTTTATATTATTTTAATTTTTGGCACATGTCAGCTGCTCTTTGACAATAATAATGTAGACATTTCATTTTTCTTATTCATAATCATAAATTTGTTATACATATTTTAATATTGTCTAGGTTCATATGTAAATTGAAATTTTTGGCAGATGATAGTTTTCCTTTGTTTTCAATGCAAACAATGACATGTCGTTTTTTGCAATTTTCTCCATTCATTTCTAAAATATTGCACATTTATCCCAGTACTTTATAATCACATAAATCCTAGAAAATTTCCTTAACAAACTTCAGAAAGATTTATCAAAATCCGCATAATCGTTTAGGAGGATTATACAGTGAGTGCTTGTAATTTAATATGAACTTTATATGATAGCAATAAAGCTCAAATTGATTCTACTATTGATTTTAGTTGGAAAACGTTTGTATGTGAAAAACAAAAGGGCTGATTTTAGGGTTTTCTTGGCAATTATTCGATTTTTTCTCGTCGTAAGAACCATCCTTGGACATCAACGAACATTTAAAAAAAAAATGGTCCAAATTAGTTCAGGCGTTGTTGAGTTATGCGCTTACCAACACATTTTGCGATTCATTTTTATATATAAGATTATCATTTGTTTTATTTTAGGAAAAGATGCAGCCGGTATAGCAAACGAAGCAATCCGCTTTGCTAAAGACTCCCACATCGATGTGGTTCTTGTGGACACTGCTGGTCGGATGCAAGACAACGAACCATTAATGAGAGCCCTAGCCAAATTGATCAAAGTCAACGAGCCCGATTTGGTGTTATTCGTCGGCGAAGCACTTGTAGGTAACGAAGCAGTTGATCAATTAGTCAAATTCAATCAAGCCTTAGCTGATTATTCCTCAAACGTAAACCCCCATATCATTGACGGCATTGTATTGACCAAATTTGATACTATTGATGACAAAGTCGGAGCAGCGATATCTATGACATATATTACTGGGCAACCCATTGTTTTCGTTGGTACAGGACAGACTTACACGGATCTTAAGAAATTAAATGCAAAGGCTGTTGTTCATGCCTTGATGAAATAATTATGAATATTTATGTCCTGTTGTTGTAAACCACTGTATAAATAAAAGGTTTTAATATACTGGCACTGAGGGAAATTTAAAAGATTTCATTTATTGCTCTATTACATCGTATATATATAAAATTAGTGTGAATGTAGTATCTGAATACTATTCGTAAAGTTTTGTGGTGTATAAATGAATATATAAATGTATATATGGATTTTTCCTTGGAATATCATATATAATCCTAGGTTTTGTTGTGTATAAATGGATATATAAATGTATATATGGATTTTTCATCAAAATCTCATATATAAATGTAGGTTTTGTTGTGTATAAAGGGATATATAAATGTATATATGGATTATTCTTTAAAATCTCATATATAAATGTAGGTTTTGTTGTGTTTAAATAGATATATAAATGTATATATTGATTTTCCTTTGACATCTCATATATAATTGCATGTTTTGTTGTGTATTAATGGATATATAAATGTATATATGAATTTTTCATCAAAATCTCATATATAAATGTAGGTTTTGTTGTGTATACATGAATATATGAATGTATATACAGATTTTTCATCAAAATCTCATATATAATCATAGGTTTTGTTGTGTATAAATGGATATATAAATGTATATATGGTTTTTCCTTTGAAATCTCATATATAAATGTAGGTTTTGTTGTGTATAAATGGTTATATAAATGTATATATGGATTTTCCTTTAAAGTCTCATATATAAATGTAGGTTTTGTTGTGCATAAATGGATACCTAAATGTATATAGATTTTTCTTTGAAAACTCATATATAAATGTAGGTCTTGTGTATAAATGGATATATAATTGTATATATTGATTTTCCATTAGAATCTCATATATAAATGTAGGTTTTGTTGTGTATAAATGGATATATAAATATATATATATGGATTATCCTATATTATTTCATATATAAATGTAGGTTTTGTTGCGTATAAATGGATATATAAATGTACATATGGATTTTCTTAGAAATTTTATATATAAATATAGGTTTTGTAGTGAATAAATGTATATATGGGTTTTCCATTGAAATATGGAATAATGATAGTACAAAAATGTATAAGATATAATTTGCACTTAACACTACAACCATCAGTATACAGTAATAAAATAAAATAATATTCAAGATCCATTAGAGGTAAATTCAAATTCTGCATTACCATGGAATAATGAAAATATTTAAAAATTCTACATTTAGTTTACATTTTCTTTTCTCATGAAGTTTTTAACTTCACAAGATTTTACTTATTTATTTTAACAAATGATTTTGAATTCAACCATTTGATTTTGTACAAATTTATGCATTTTTATTTGTGGAGCTGATATCTGTGGATATTGTCAACTAATATTGTACAAAATTATTAAATTCCTAGAAATTTAACTAGTGCATTTGTGAAATTAAATGTAGTGCAGTGACAAGTTAACAGGTTACAATTTATTCATTCAAATTAAATACCTGAAATAAAACTACAACACAAGTTTCTATTAAATACAATAATAAAATAGAATAATTATTTATATTTTATTATCATAAAGATTATTTTACATTTATTCAACATCTTCATCATCATCATCGTCTTGTGATGAGATCTGGAAGTACCTCAATTCATAGGAGTCCTTGCCACCATCGACAACACGGATCCAATCACGTAAGTTGTTCTTTTTCAAATACTTCTTTGTCAAGTATTTAAGGCACCTTTTCGAGAAGGGGATATCAGAGATGACAGACACTTTCATTTTTTGGCACTCCAACGAAACGTTGTTACCAAAGTTGTTGGTCTTTCCGTTGACCTTTATCCTCTCTTGCAAGTATTTTTTGAAGTTCTGTACATCCATAATGTTGTCTTCGACGGGGGTGGTGCAGTCGACGGTAAATTTAAGAGATACCTTCTTTTTCTTCAATCCCTTTCCGCGAAGTTGTTGTTTTTTGCCAGTTTGGACTGGGCCTTTCTTTGCTGCTACTTTCGAAGCCATTTCCACGTGTTTTTTTTAATCAGCCGGTGATTGAAGTAGAGCAGCTGTGCAGTCCTACAAATATTCACAAAACATTAGTAAAAATAATCACACCTGGTAATAAAAAATAGTAGAAGTATCCTTGGCATAAAGTGTGTACTGAAAATATGTTAACCACAAAACTTGCAGTGACATTCGAGGTGAGAATAAACAAAGTTATTCAACACAATATCAACATAGTAATATTTTTACGTAAAATAGCATAAAAAGTATATTTTTGAATATAAAACAACAGGGTAATTGATATTTACGTACTTTTACAGCCACAAAGAAATAATTCCCATGCGAACACGTATAAATTCACAAGGCATAGAGAGGGAAGCCGGGGCGAGCAGAAGGCAAGTTGATCGTGATTGAAGTTCGTGCGAAAGCGACAGTTTCCGCTCATGAATATGTGGCGCTAATTTCAAAATTGAAAATAAAAGGTAAAGATAGTTTAAAATTACATAAAACCTTTCGTTGAAATTTAATAGTTCTAATAAATGTTTAATATTATTCACATATATCAATGTGATATAATGACCTTTTGAAACTTGATAGAACCGGAATGATAAACTATTCAATTTGGCACTATTTTTAAAATTATAAATAGATAGTAGTTTAAAATTATATAAAAACTTTTTGTTAAATTACATTAGTTCCAATAATGTTTTAAAGTTATATTTAACATCTTTCATAAAATTTGCCTCACCGTTTTCTTCAAAAATTCTCAAGTTTTTTTTATATTTTATGTTAAATTTTGCAAATAATTATAAAGAAATAAGGGAGTGCACAGTTTTTTTGGTATTTTTTATCCATTGTTAATTTTAGATTACATTTTTGCTATAAGAATGTTTATGCTCAATAATTGTTATTTGTTATTACATATTTATATATGAGATTTAGATGAAAAATCCATATATATATATATATATATATATATATATATATATATATAAATACACAACAAAACCTATGATTATATATGAGATTTCAAAGGAAAATCCATATATACATTTATACATAATAAAACCTACATTTATATATGAGAATTTGATGGAAAATCCATATATACATTTATATATGCATTTAAACACAACAAAACCTTCATTTAATTATGAGATTTCAAGGAAAAATCCATATATGCATTTATATATGCATTTATACACAACAAAACCTATGATTATATATGAGATTTCAGAGAAAAATCCATATATACATTTATATATTCATTTATACCAACAAAACCTACATTTATATATTAGATTTCAAAGGAAAATCCAAATATACATTTGTATATCCATTTATACACAACAAAACATATAATATATGAGATTTTAAAAGGAAATCCATATATACATTTATATATCTATTTATACACTTCAAAACCTATGATTATATATGAGATTTTAAAGGGAAATCCATATATACATCTATATATCCATTTATTCACAACAAAACCTACATTTATATATGAGTTTTCGATGGAAAATTCATATATACATTTATATATCCATTTATACATAACAAAACCTACATTTATATATGAGATTTCAAAGGAAAATCCATATATACATTTATATATCCATTTATACACAACAAAACTTACATTTATATATGAAAACTTCTAAATAATACCATCATTATTTTTTAAATAAAAAAATCATTGTTAACTTCACAAAATACTATATAAAAATTGATAAATACTGATCAATTTTAAAACTAAAAATTTAAATAACTTAATTCTATAAAGTTTTCAATCTATATGATTTCATTTTAAGATTTCATATTAATAAATAAAAATTTCTTGAACAAAATGCTAATTATTATATAATACATTACAGAAATAACAATGATTTTTGATTCATTACAAAATATTTATTTGTTAATTAAAGACGATTAAATTATTGCTTCATTATAAAACATATACATACAATCTAAATCAAATTATCTTTAATTAATAAAGATTTTGTAGTCAAACAAAAATCATTTTTCTATATATATATATATATATATATATATATATAATTCAGTTAATAAATAATAGACATTAAAAATTTCTTTCAATTACATTTACATAACGAAAACACACCGGTTATGTAATAATATAATTTATTAATATAATTCCATTTCTACTGTACATTTTCATTTAATTATCACGCAACATTCCTTTACTTTCCTTCAGATTTTAGAGCAGATGGCTGAGGCAAGCGATACTTTGCCATTTCAATTTCAGCTTGGAAATAACTGCTCCTGTCATAACAAAAATATTCCTTTACTTTATACTCATTCTTGGAGTCGTTGGGACCAATGGGGCCTTCTCTTTTTAGAATGATTTGAGAACTTAGACCGGTCACATTCTGAAGGGGGACCGATTGGGTTGATTGAGATGATTGTTGAGGTGATTGATTAGAAGAACTGTGTGTTCCATTTCGTAAAGCTGCAGAACTTGATAGGTTTTTCTTCAAAACGTTTACTATTTGTCGAGAAGTCATTTTCACTGCGCTGTAAGTAATAAGGCAGATATTAGTTACTTTATTTTTAATATTTGTGGTTATTTTTATTCACCTTTAGGTTTGACACTTCTACGTTCTGGTATAGATGGCACGTTAGGATCGTCGCGCGCTCTCGATATTTATCCTGGACAAAATGAATGCCTGATTTTAAAATATTATCAAGGATAATGTTTATTAATATATTTATTAAATATTTTCATTAACATTCGATTATAATTGACAAAAAGTGCGCGATTGAAGTAGGAATCTTCTTATGCTTGTGTTCGAGATGACAATTAAGTTAAAAATTAGTATTTAGTGGCATTTTGCCTTGAATCAATTGAAAAATTATAATTTGATTTGTTTGTAATCTACCAATCGCGTCAAATTCACTCAATTGATGTCTGTCATCGGCCAATGACAAATCAGCATTTACGGACGTCAGGCGTAACGGATTTCCGTCCTATTGTCAATCATATTTTAGAATTACTTCCTGGCGCCTACAGAAGTTTTACTTCAAAAATTCATAGAAAATTGAATTATCTGCAATAATTTCTGCAGAAACTTACATATAAATTTCTCTTGAATCAATATATAGATTTAATATTGATTTGGCTTAAGGCAAAATGTCACTTACAACTTTTCAACTAGTCGTGGTTGTGTATACGTTTATAGTTAAATATTCAGTATTCAGTTTCACATAAAGATTCAGTACAATGTTCCTATATCAATATTGAAAAATAAGCAATAAAAATAATATTGAACAATTAGCTAGATATTTAATATTTAACCAAATTTTATCCCATTTTGTATATTGGCGACAAAAGTTATCCATGCGCGAATACCTTTAACGGACGACATGTTTTCAAATTCGAACTGTTGCTCCTTTTTGACAAATTTGATTCTTGTAAAAATATTTAATTATGTAAATATTAGTTATTACTACGTATATAAATAACCCAGGAAAATTTATTAAACTTATCTTAACATTCTCATATAAATTCAATTATATTCAAATAAAAACGTATGTAAATATTACACTTTTGATTGGTTATGTATGGATTTAACAATTTGTGAATTTATATTCATATCTGTGATAAAATTTATGTGTGCAAATATTTACATTCCATTCTGTGCCTTTCAAAACAATAATTTTCAAGTGTAGTTTATGATTAGATAATGAAATTTGTATAATTTCATTTTATCGTGACGTAAAACGTCTGGAACTAAATCTTATCACAACCATCAGCAGCAAAATTTATTTAATTTCGTGGCCAATATAAAAACAATGTCGGATATTATTGTTTTGGGATCCTGTAGTGTAGATTTCACTTGGTAAGAGCAAAAAATATATTTGTTTTTGAATATTTATTTATATAAATTATAATTTTATGTTAAAGTTTTGCTGCAAGGCTTCCAAAAGCGGGTGAAACTATTCATGGCAAAAAATTTATGACCAGTTTTGGAGGCAAAGGCGCCAATCAATGTGTTTCTGCTGCCAAATTAGGTGGAAAAACTGCACTAATAGCAAATGTAAGATTATAGACATAATAGTTATTTATGTAAGAATTTATTAAGTTCTTTCTTATCCTTTACCCAGCTTGGGAATGACAAATGGGGCATCGAATACAAAACGTATTTAGAAAAATTAAGCATCAACACTGCACACGTTCATCTAAAATCAGATTATGATACTGGAATAGCCCATATATCCGTAGCAGAATCTGGTGAAAATCAAATAATTATTGTAGCCGGTGCAAATGGTAGTCTTACACCTGGACATGTGGAAACAATGAAAGATGTTTTGGATTCTGCTAAGATTTTAGTGTGCCAATTGGAGACACCCATAGATGCAACTCTGGCAGCTCTAAAACACTTTAAAGGAGTATGTATAAATAATATGGCAATAAAATGGAATAAACAGATATATAACATTTTTGCAGATATCTATTTAAATAAATGCTGCTCCAGCTCAACTTGTACATTAAAATTCGATGTATTTGTTGAAGTTGCCATCAATTTTTTGTGTGAACGAAGTAGAAGCATCTATTATATCAGGAATTGATGTTAGCAATGTAGAGTAAGTTTAACAATGATTAAATTAATAATTATATTTTTACTGTAATTATTTTGTTGCAGAGAAGCAAAAACAGCTGTTTCTATATTTTTGCAAAGGGGTTGCCGGACAATTATCATAACTCTGGGTGCAGAAGGGGCAGTTTTTGCCAGTCAAGAAAATCCAGTTCCAATTTTTGTTCCTGCAAAGAAAGTTGCTCCTCTTGATACAACGGTTTGTTTTTATTATTTTTTTTTATTTTTAAATTTCAATGCAAGAATATTTTATAACATGTTTCCAAATATTTAAATACAATTTAACAGATATTTTATTGATTTTTATCACGCTTCCTACCATGAAGGACCATATGTCTCTTTAAATTGCTTGGTTTAGTAAATTCCTTATTGCATATTTCACATTTGTAAGGACGCTTTCCATGATGAATCTGCAAATGTTCTTTAAGAGAACTTAATCGTTTGAATGTCTTATTGCATACATTGCATTCGTGAGGACGTGCTTCATTGTGCATCAGCATGTGATCTTTCAGATAACTTATATGTATGAAAGCCTTATTGCATGTACTGCACTTATGGGGAAGCTCACCATGATTGAGCATGTGTCTTTTCAGAGCACCTAAATGAGTGAATGTCTTATTGCATACATTGCACCCATGGGGGCGCTCACCACTGTGAACGAGCATGTGTACTTTAAGTACAGCTAAATGTGTAAATGTCTTCTTGCATTCATTACATTCATGGGGACGTTCATCGCTATGAATAGACATGTGTCGTTTCAGAGTACCTAATAGTTTAAATGTCTTCTTGCATATACTGCACTCATGGGGTCGCTCACCACTATGAGTGAACATGTGATTTTTCAGATTACCTGATTTTATAAATGTCTTATTGCATTCATTGCATTTATGTGGACGCTCACCACTGTGAATAACCATGTGAGTTTTCAAAACACTTGATTGTTTGAAAGTCTTTTGACAGATTTCACATTTAAAAGGACGTTCTTCGCTATGGTTAGGTATGTGATCGACCATATGCTTTGTTAGATGATGCGATTCTGCGAATGATTGATTACAAATGTCACAATCAAAAGACTCCTGTTTGACTTCATCTTCAATTGTCACCTCGGAATTCATAAATCTTTCTAAACAGGTACCATCGTCTTCAGAAAACGATTCAGATTTAACAATAGCATCAAAAACATCAAATTCATTCTTTTTTTCGCTTTTAATGTCTTTTACTGGATATTCTGGTGGTTCAATTTTAACTGCCTGATCATGCACTGACATAATTGTTTCTTGTGACAATTTTAAATATTTTCACTACTTATACTCAATAAATATTTACAAAAAACAGTAGTTAATCTAATTTAATATAATCATTTTCTTTAAGATAAATGATTTTAACCATTCATAATCAAAATTTGAAAAAAATCAAATTTGACATTTGAAGCATAGAGTCATAGATAAATAAAAACGCGACACTTGTTAAATGTCAAACCAAGATAGATGTCTCATCTCTCTAAAAGCGTACTCTCTATGCTTCAAATGTTAAATAATGAATTAAATTTTAGTTAAAATTATTTATGATTATATTAAACTATATTAACTGCTATTTTTTGTAAATATTTATTGAGTTGAGTGTAAGCAGTGAAAAATGTCAGACGAAACATTTATGTCAGAGAATGATCAGGCAAGAATTAAAATTGAACCACCAGAATATTCACCGGAAGACATTAAATGCGAAAATGAGGATGAATTTGATGCTCTTGATGCTATCGTTAAATCTGAATCGTTTTCTGAAGATGATGATACCTGTTTAGAAAGATTTATGAATTCCGAGGTGACAATTGAAGATGAAGTCAAACAGGAGTCTTTCGATTGTGACATTTGTAATCAATCATTCGCAGAATCGCATTACCTAACAAAACATATGGTCGATCACATGCCTAACCAGAGCGAAGAACTCCTTTACAAATGTGAAAACTGTGAAAAGACTTTCAAACATTCAAAAGAGTTGAAAGCACACATGGTCACTCACATTAGTCAGCGCCCACATAAATGCAATGAATGCAATAAGACATTCAAACAATTAAGCGATTTGAAACGTCACATGTTCACTCATAGTGGTGAGCGCCCCTATGAGTGCAGTATATGCAAGAAGACATTCACACAATCGGGGAGTCTGAAATCTCACATGCTCCTTCACAGTGGTGAGCGTCCCTATGAATGCAGTATATGCAAGAAGACTTTCACACATTTGGGGACTCTGAAATCTCACATGCTCATTCATAGTGGTGAGCGTCCCTATAAATGCAGTATATGCAAGAAGTC